TGCTGGCGGGAGGAGGCTGGTGGCGTCACACTCCGCACAGAAGCCGGCGAATCGCTGCGGAAGGTCTGTTGGAAGTCGGTTCGGTTGTAGCCGTTGGGTGGCCAGCGATAGTCTCGCCAAGTACTTGCGCGCCGTGAGGATGCCGGAGGTCGTTGATACTGCGGCAGAGGTGGCCGATGCCACTCTGAGCAGAAGCGGGCTATATGTCCGCGAACGCCACAGTAAAAGCACACAGGTGCTTCACGCCCCACTCGCTGCTGAAGATGGTCAGCGGGATAATCTTGCCACACTGCCCTATTGGGGGGTGAACTTTGCACGGCGTCGTTTGGCGGATGAGACATATAGGCATGACAACGCAACTGTACCGGCGTCCTTGAGTCGACGAAGCCCGCAGCAATGATGGACGCAGGCGGGGGGCCGCATGGTGCATAAGAACCGTGGCCATGTGCTATCGACGGTGCAGTAGCGTCCCACTGATCAAGTTCTTCGCGCACTATTTCTCGTATTATTGACACCAGATCAGTGGGTGGAGGGACTACGCCGATACTTGCGACCGTTGTGACGTTGCGGAGTCTACCAAACTTTGCCGAAATGCACCGAGCTTTAAAGGCCTCCAATGTTCGGCAATGTCGGATGATGTCATTGGCTGACTGCAAGTCATCGTTTCCTATAAGATAGTGATAGATATCCTCCGTGATGCCCTTAAGGAGATGCCCGACTTTATCCTCATCAGTCATTAGTCGGTCCACACTCTTGCAAAGCTTGAGAACTTATTCAATATACATCGTACATGTCTCCCCAGGGGCTTGAGCACGTTGGCTCGGGGTCTGCTCAGCACGCTTCTTTATCGTGGTCGGATCTCCAAAACACTTCTCGATTTTGTCCACAAAATTCGCCCACGTTTTCAAATTTTCCTGATGATTCTCGTACCACGTCAACGCAGTTCCCTCAAGAAAAAGTGGTACGTAGTTGCGCTGGCCGGTAGTGTCCCAGTGGTTACACAGACTCACCCGCCGATAGTGCTCTCCAGGTTTCGCAGAGAATGGGCGCGGTTCCCTGTAATGGTGTCCATAGGTGTTAGGCGCAGCTGGTTGGATTTCGCCGTCAGGGTTCATGATAACTGGTAGCAGCAGAAGTCCTGCGAGTCTGCGGCTCCGGCGAAGCTCCAGGGGCGTGTCTTCCGCCGTACTTGTCCGGTGCTCCAAGGCGTTACCCAGCACTCTCCACAAATTATGTTACGGGTGAGAGATGTTTATTGTACAGGCGGGATGATAGATTGTTGCAGAAGTCAGGCCTGGCACAAAACACATTCACTTCTTTTTCGTCTACCCCACTTCACCGAAAGTCCCGTATCAATATTGTAGACCCATCTATATCTAAACGCTCCTCTTGTAAAACAAAAATTATCTGGAAAGTACACGAGCGCACTTGTGTCTCACGAAAAACCAGGCTATACGTCACCATATGGCATGAGCAACGAAGCAGTACCTCGGTTCAAATTTCTTTTGTGTGTATTAATACAAACATTGAGCAGAGCACTTGTTATTGTGTATGCTATTCCTGGGTCATTTATTCTCAAAATGGAAATCCTGATTTTTCTTTATTTTGAATGTTATGCATATATAGTGTTCTTTTATTGCACTGTTTATCAGATGGTAACCAAAAATTCCAATTTTTCACTTTTTGTACATTCCACTGACCTTTGATTCTCTGCAACTTATATTTTCATAAAGTGCATTTCATTATGCACAATTCAGGGGTGGAAAAGGGCTTGAGTGTTTTTAAGCAGCTCAGGGAGCAGGAATAATGCTCTTCTGGAGCAGCTTTGGCGTGATAAAAGGCAAGTTTTGGAGCAATGCGAATTACTTTGGCAGCAACTTTCGAGGGTCAAAAATCATCGTTAATCAAAGTTATTTCTGGTAAAATATCAATGTCACGTCTTACAGAAAAATTCCGCCATATCCACGAAGTGAATGATGATGAGTGGGCGAAAAGCTAGTGGGCGAAGCTCCGGAGGTAAATCTGGTAAACCATCAATCCTCTGTACATTTTGCCCACTCGATTTTATTACATCGCTCCCCCTAGCGTACGTCGCCGCACTAAATCGAACAATTGCCTTCAACCAATGACACGCGCCATATGTGACATCATTCCTATTTTATAAGATCTCGCGTCTTTCATCAACTACAAGTACCGCTTTCTAGTTTATAACATCTTGCATCTTTTCATCATCAGCTACAAGTACCACCATCTAGTAAACACTACAAGAACTAAACGAGAGGTGGCTACATACAGGAGACGGTACCGCCATCTAGTGAACACTGCAAGAACTAAACTAGAGGTGGCTACATACAGGGGACGGTACCGCCATCTAGTGAACACTGCAAGAACTAAACTAGAGGTGGCTACATACAGGCTACAGGGGACGCACAGCCCACGCCCTAAGGAGCTTCGCCCCTAAAAAAATGCAATGGCTCTCACTAAACATTCAGTACTATAATGAGCTTACCAGTAAGACTTACCCGTAAGACTTACCATCCACAAATGTGTGTGGGTGTGTGTGTCTGTAATACAAAACATGGTCACCTAATACTCTGATTGAAACGAAAACAAAAGTTCCGGGTGGTAAAAGCAGGAAACTATTTCTTTACGTGAACACCTCTACTGCAAAAAGTCTCGCTAGCTACAGCATCGTTGCAACTGATGTTGCACCTAGTGTGTGAAACGGAGTATAGTTAATCGTGGTACACTTCACTAGGTGAGAGTTTGTAATCCCCACGCTAGTTACAAACACGCTACACTGCTCATCTTTGCTCAGTCTCAAGCGAAGCGGGGACAAGCAAATCACTCAGCAAATCTGTGCGCACGGTCGCGTGAGCCGCTCGGCAGCGACGGCGTGGGCAGCCTAGGCTCCTAACAGCATGCAACTTAGCAGGAGACTATCAGAGTCCACACAATCTCTCCGCGCTCCAATGTAACTGTCAGTTATTGCTCAGTATTGCGGTAGAGAAGCGCACATATGTGACGCGGAAAACTGATAGTGTCTGTTCTATCGCTATTTCAGTCGCTTCGTATTTCAGACGGGGCCCCACCCCGTAATAGCTTCGAAATGCTGCTAGGCGTCAGCACTGCGCGCTATAAAACGATCATTCCGAGAGTGCCAGCCCAGTATCTTTTTACACTTTGGCAGAACGAATAAAAGACTACCTGGTGGATGCTTTCGTCAACGTCTGCTGCGTTACTGTAATTGTTTCAGGAGATATACATTTGTGCTCGTAAGCGCTCACTACCATTTAGTGCATGATCATTCCGTATTCACGGCTGGTACAAATTATCCAAATGTTACTAGATAGTTCACAGTTACTCGTGTTGGTTGGAACTAGTGACAAAATTGCGACCCCCTCCCCAATGAAGGCGATTACGCGAGAGCCGGTAATCGCCTTGAAAGGGAAGGGGTTGAAATCTTGCCATTCTATATCAGCAACAAATGGCTGTTTTGCTCGCCGTGACATGACGCGAAAAGAGAGTGTCGTTGCTCTCGCTTCCGCTTGAACGCGCTGCCAGCAACGGCCGGAGTGCGCAGGCCACGCGTCGCCGTGTTCCCTTTCATTAAAATTGACACTGTACATCGAAGTGCTCTCTTGGCTAGGTTGGGAAAATGCTGGAGAAATGGTGCTCCCTAATTATTTTATCAAGGATAAGGCAATGCAGAGACTGGATTTTATTTGTTTACACGGTTTTGTGCAACCAACAACAATTTACATGTCAAAGCTGGAGAAGCTATTTTCATAGTCTCGCCTCCTCTTTCAATTTTTGTCTAGACCCAACTATGCTGGTGAACAAGGGTGTGGTTCCTTTTAATTCACAGTAGCTAATATGCCCTGTAGAGACGTCAATGTATAAAAACATGTAAAATTACGGATGCTGAAAACGCTTGTTCAATTTTTTTTTTAATTTTTAGTTTTTGGTTCACGATGGCATTACTTAACAGCCCTCACCTCTGCCGCACAGGTGCAAGCCAGCACTTTCACGAGCCGATTCACTCACGCAATACCATAGTGCGATGTAGTGAATCATATTAAAAAATATGAAGGGGCCACTGTAATGAAGCAGTGCGTCTCCGTGTTGCAACTAGCGTTTTCTTAGCAGTCTGAAAGGGAGCTTCACCGCAATGCGAACGGTGTAATAGGGTAAAGCATATAAGAAAAATGTGAAGAGGCCATTACTACTTGCACATTGACTGTAGTGTATTTGTCTTTGGAAAGTTTGAGTGGTAAAATTCCGGTGCGAATCGAATATCACGCGCCTCCTCTATTTCATCAATGCCAGCCAGATGTGCCCGATCCAGCCATTCACCACCCTCACCTTTAGCCCTTCCCTGCTCTCGCCTATCGCCTAGCCTTCGCGTGTCCTTTGCTATGATGTTGGCAATCATGCTGGCTCTGTAGAAGATACGGTGTTTTGAGATAGCGTGCCGCAGTTCGTGGTGCTGTGTGGACAACCAATGGAGAAGCATCACTGCAATGCTACTTGTAGCCCTGCACCGTGATGCAGTGGCGGCATTGCTTCGAGCCACAAAAGAGGAGCACGAAGAAACAAACTTGACAGACCTACGATATTGCACTGGGAAACACGTCTATCGCATCTCCGGGGTAAAGCGACCCCTCATGCAGTGTCGCATCAAGACTATTTCCTGAACTAACGCTGGCTCCCATTGATAAGGGCGCGTTTGCATTGAAAGAAATAAAGGAGCAAACACTATTCAAAAAATATCCAGAACTTCAACTATTTACACATCTTTCACTATTGCACAAATTTGCTTCTCCTGCATAATCTTTCAGTAATGCAATTTTAAAAAATCTCTTTTTTGGGCTGTTCTACTTTACTAAATTATCTAACCTAAGTGAACTGAGCATACTACCTGTTTTATAACTCTACATATGATGGACAACAAAATGTTGGTCTCAAACAACCTGTTTGAGCACACTGTGTAGACTCACCATGCCTTCGCTGAGAAGGAACAGGATACGTGTGTACTGTGCTCCCATCAGGTGAGCATACTCTGCACCGATGCTCAAAAAGCTGCAAGCACTTGGGTAGTCTCGTTCCGTGGCAAACATTTGCTGAGAAAATAAATTAAGCCAATAATTTATTATAATAAGGTCACTCACTTTATTACAATAAGGTCACTTGAAATTTTTCTTTGAACAGTCACTACTATTTTGCCTTTTTCTTTTTTTTTTTTTTTTCAAATGCAACAGATTTCACTTCATAGGTCCAACAGATGGCTCGCAAGAACATTTTGCATGCACTTAAATGGGCAGCATCACATAGCAGACTCATTATGATGTCTGTGAACTAATAAAATTCACACGCACAATTCTTTTTTGTCTTTATTTCATCGTGTAATAGAGGTTGTATGTTTTTGAAAATAAGTGCTGGACCCCTTTAAACTAGCACTAAAATCGATGAACAAACTTTAGAAAAAGCAGAACAAAAAAAATCTACTTACAACAATTCGGAAGATGAGTCGGCAGTGCCAAAGTGTAGAGTGCCGGGAGCACTCAATGGCTGTATTCAAAATTTGCTTCGCCAGTGCTGTCTGGTTCTGTTTCAAGCAATACAAAGACAGAATGCACATTTCTCTGAAACTTCCCTATAACTGTAAGTTCTTCATGCCATTCTTTCTGCCTTATGTCACAATATTCAAAGAAAAACCCCCTTTAATTCTATTGGTACACCACTGTCATATTTGTAGTTTATGGCGATCAAAAGCCATGAATAAGCAATGAAGAGAAGCAATATACAACAGGCAAATCAACACATGCTGGTAAAGAAATGGCATCAATGTATATTATCTATTTATTTTCAAAGCTCTATGCAGGGCTGTTCCAGGAATGTTGTATATTTTCATAAACAAATACACTGATCAAAAGGCTGACATAAGGGTAAATAAAGAAAAGCAAGAAACAAACAGCAATATTTTCATAACAGTTAAGAAAGGGAAAGAAGACAACTACTTGTTTGTATCACAAAGTCACAAGGAAATTCATACGAATTTCTCAGAAATAAAAACTTTGAAAAATTTGTCCTGGTTCATGGTTCGAAGTCGGGACCAACGCCTTTCCGTTGGGTTCGCTCTACCAATTGAGCTAAACAGAAAGCTAGCGATAGACCTCTCCTTGTGTTGTAAACAGTGTGACTTCACTGCGGGCACCCTGCCCATTATGCCCTCTCTCTGAGCAGGTGCTGGTTGGCAAGAAAGTTCCGCCGGCGGCATCTTTCTGCATAGCAGAGCTGCTGCGTGTATGCATTCCTTCAACAGAAATTTCTACATTGTTATGTCCTAAAGTCACAGCTTTCGAAAAAACGTGGTCGTGGAAGGGTCACTGCTCATAGTGTGGAACATTGCTTGTTATCTTCGACCTCGCGAGAAAATAAATAGTTTACTAACACATAATAAACACACACCACACAGGCTATGAAACGGCACATAGGTCCCATCTTCACGAACGTCACTCCTTTACGTCGTCATCTTACTTTGCTAGCTTCCACAAGGCACGTGCATTTCCAACATGCTCGTCGTAGCTAGATGGATGGAGAAACTTTATTTAAAGTAGCGAGAGATGCGACTAGCACGCAGTGGGTTTCACCCACGCAGATGGTGGCTATTAAAAAATCTGATCTTTTTCGAAAGCGAACGTTTCGAATGTACATGATGACTGACACTTTGAGAAATATTTGCATGGCATAGGTCTAAACTTAATTTCAATCGTGGCACGTGCAATGCAGTTTTAAACGAGGTACAGCATTGGCGGCAGCATGATTTTGAGCTGGTGTGCGCGACGTCACAAATAACATTCTCACTCATTGTGCAAAAGTCTGGTCGGAGATTAAAGAAAAAAAAGATTGGCCCCGTATCTGCATGTTTCACTGCAAATGTCATCGAAAAACGATAGTCATATGTATGGAGAGAGTGAACAAAACGTTTATTTGATGTTCTGCGTGAGAAAATCGGTGAATTGTATTCTGTAAGCACTGCGTTGAGAATCTCGATCCGTGCAGCGAAGGCAAACGAGTGCATCGAGGCACGTTGTAGACACAAGCGCCTTGTGGTAATTATCTTCGAAACCGAAGAAAGAAGTGAGCGCCCATGGAGAAAGATGCATGCCTATCTCGGAAGCGATAAAGAGTAGAACGCAAAGCGGCGGGCAGGTGCCACCACCATGTCGTCTTAGCAAAGCGTTGGAAACACTTGCCTTTTCGGACAAGTGTTGCATGGTAAGCGCAGCGTGATAAACGCTACGGTCCTTAGAATTGATTGTGTGTGCCCTTACTAGTATGAAGCAACATATACAAAACATCGTGGTATTGTTATGGTGCCTCAGATATGTGCAATAATTGCTTTTTAATTGACAATCGTGCAATTATGAACACTGAAACTTGAGCAATATTGGTGGGCGCTGAGGATGGGGTTGGCCGTTTGAGGTATTGTCAAATGGTAGTATATAGGGGTCCTGTGGTATCGTTTGGCGACTTTAGAGGGATTGTTACCGTGTACAAACCGCCAAATGTACAAACAGACAGACCAAAATTTTGGCGTCGAAGGTCCCCAAGAAAGACTAGTGTCTTAAAAAAAAACATTTCTTGCCGTGCGTTAGGCTGAGCTTAACATATCCTCATGAAAATTATAGTGGAATTCCACCGCTGCGTTTCTCAATAACCCAGTAAAAATTCATGTGATGTAAAACCCAACAACTTAACAATATATAATATTATCTAGCACTGTTACCTTGCTGCATTTGACACCTATAACGTGTTTTTACACCTATACTACTCCTTTAGGCCTGATACACAAACTTCTAATGCGCATTGTCACTTCATAAGGATGGAGCCGTAAAAGTACAAAGTAGATAAGAAACGAAAATCTCCGCTGTTTCCATTAACACGTATCAGGTATCCGATAATACGAGTTATAGCTGTGGTGAAGCATATATGCAGATTCGGCAACGCTACAACATGCTTTTGGCCCATGCGTAGTAGTATATATTACTCAGAAATCATGCACTTTTATTTTTCTGCTCGCCGCGCATATGCAGAGATGTACTTACTCGCAGATGATCGCGTCAAATGCATTTTTACCTTGACTAAAATGTCAGATCGCAAAGTTCCTTTGACAACCGGTTACTGCAACCGGCCCACAGCGAACACCAACGTTTTCGCAGACAGGACGCATTGCGTTGTTTACATTGCACACACCACACAAAATATTCTCAGTTTCACAGTCTGCAAAGGTTAACCGATATTGCCAATGCCTTTCAATGCACACTACATGCCACAGTTAACACTGCACATTTTTAAAGACGATGCTGCTGTTCTTCGCACAGGCCACTATGCGTCTTCCCTTCTCCGAGATAAACAGCTAGCCAGCGTGGCAAATATGTCATCACGCACTTTACCACACACATAGATGTTCTCTAACACATACCACAGCTAATGCTGCCACTGTGAGATGTCAAGATTAAGCTTTCAAGAAGAAAAAAAAAAACTTGCTCCAAGCACCGAGCGACTGCACCCCACTCAGTCACCGGCGAGAGTGTCTTGCCGACCGCCGCCTTGCACGTGCATCGGTAACGTATCCCGGTAGAGGTCTATTGGCAGCCCGTGGGCGAATTCATCGACACAAAGCCATGTCCATTAGACCCCCCCCCACCCCCCTTATTTAATCCTTCCGCCACCTTGCGGGTTTCCGCAGAAGTCATTTGCAATATTTGTGTCGATGTGCTTCCAGTTCTCGATGAATTTACCCTCACTCTGTCACTTGCTAGCTTACTTGTTAGCTAAATTGGTAGAGCGTCCACCCTGGAAAGGCGTTGGTCCTGGGTACGAACCCCAGACCAGGGCGAATTTTTCGGCAACTTCATGCTCATGCTACAAACAAATGGTTGTCATTTTTTCCTCAACCTTGATTTCTCTTGGGGGAGCGGGGGGGGGGGGGGGTGAAACTTGAGATAAAACTCAAGTACCACATACTATATTATTATTATAGATTATATTACCTGCAATAATAATAATAATAATAATAATAATATTAATAATAATAATAATTAGTAATTATTATTATTATTATTATTATTATTATTATTATTATTATTATTATTATTCAATGAGATGACAATGACAACAATATTTAGGTGTTTTTACCAGGAGACCTTGAAAAACCTTGAGAAGACCAAGAAACCATTTGATGAAGCAGTGCACGTAGAAAATAAAAGGGAAATCGAATAAAACAATGCATAACATAGTTCTCAACAGGTATATCTGGCAAAAAAAATGTGGAGGCAAAAATGCTGTAGCCCTGTGTGCTCAGATTTGGGTGCACGTTAAACTCCAGGTAGTCAAAATTTCCGGAGCCCGTCACTTTGGCGTTTCCCCAGATAGTATTATTAGACGTCAGGAAAATGCTTATTTTTTCTAGTTTTTCAGTTCCGTTTGGCAAATTCTTACTTTTTCTGGTTTTTCAGTTCTGTTTAGTGATTCTGGTGCTGACGTGTTGGCCGGCTGGCAGTCAAAAAATGCTGTTGTAAAGGAACATGACTTCTATGATAGAGCAAACAAAAGGAATGCAAGAAGAACACACAGCGACACCTGGTGCAGTATGCCTTTCTTGTGTCTCAATTATTGTGTATTTTGTCTTTTCACCTGAGTAGTCAGTGAATGCGGTACAAACAAGCCCCAGTGGCAACTTTAGCAGTTAAAAGAACTGCAACTAAGGATTTTCTTGATAATGCAAACAGAATATCCTACATATTTAACTTGCTTTGAACCTCATCAGATTACAAGTATGAAAGTGCACCGTAAGTATTGATTATAAGCTTTGCGGTATTGATTATAGAAAGTATGTACAGCTCAACGCAGCACACGTGTAGTAAAACTCTCAGCTTGCAGGCCAACTGCATTGTAACTACGCTTACCGATTCGCAAAGTCATCGGGTGCTCAAGTTTGGCGAATGAAGCATCCTCAGTGATGACTAATTGATGGACGCATCTGATAGCAGTATGTGCTGAGTAATCGTTTCCTTTTTGGCTGTTATCAAAGATCCCGGTGCTGTTGCTGCGTGGCTTTAATCTCAATGCAGAATCTTTTTCGGGAGGTCGGTGAGGATCGTGTTCTACTGGCACTTCAGCAATGAGTGTGGTCTGTTTGAAAGCGCACTGCCGACGCATCTTCGCGAAGCAGATGCAGAGCGCAAGTTGTAGCGAGCGAACTGAACGTATGCATGCATGAGTGGCTTTCGTCCGATGTACAACTTGCAAGAAAGAAGGAGTAAAAGAAGAGAACGCGACACATAGCTTCTGAAAAAAAAAAGCAAGAAAAGTTGAACTCGACCAATATACCTTTCGCAAGTTCCCAAAGCCATTTTTTCTTATTATACCACGGCGTCTTACTGCTCCCTTCTTCGCAACTGTAGGTTTCGCATGGCCGTCGTGCTTGCTTGGGGTCCCTGCATGTGTGCAGTACTGCGGGGCGGCTGGCGACCATGCTGGCAGCACACACGCTATAAGGTTTGCTCAGAAATGCAGGAACCACAGCGTACGTATGTGCTTAAACTAATATCACCATGTGCTTCTGCTGCACAGCTTCTGTGGTTTGCGGTTGCTCTCACGAACGAGCCGCGTGCAAGCTCGCCTTTCTTCTTGCCACTCCAGTGCTGATTGTACGTCTGCTGTCTAGGAGAAAATGTACGACCACACTTCTGGAGACACCATTTGCCTGCAGAAAACAGGAAACGTGTTTCGAAGCGCCTTATTATCTCTAGAACTTTCAATGGGCATTGTCCCAATGTTTCAAAATGCATGCGGTTCCTGTTTAGAGTTAAAAGAGGGGATGCACGAACCACCCGTCCCCATCCTCGGCTGCGGGCAACGCCTTCGAAGTGTGAGAAGTCAGCGAGACTTCTTTGCTTTTTTTTTCTTTTCGGTAGCTGAGTACATAAGCAGTTCTTTGAACATGTGGTTTCACTTTGAAGTCGTGTGCGCAGCATCGTTTCCGGTTTAGAACTGGCCCTATCTCGGCCTTTATCTCTCCTGTTTCGAAGTGCGAGTGTGCGTGGCCACAGCGAAAATGGATGGGCCACTCGCGTTCTTAACATCACTGCTCAGTCTTCCATGAATGGCACGTTGCCTGAGTTCGCTTCAAACGGGCGATGGTTTCGCTGGCGCCTCGGACAACGAAGAGTGATACCTTTCCGTCGTGGTGGTGATGGGGGGGGGAATACTGTTGCTGCATTTTTGAGATTGTAAGGGAATTGATTTTGAATAAAAAATCTTGGGTAACTCTTTTTGGCGAGATTGCTAAATATATCCCTTTTTTTTTCTCTTTTTCTAGTTGTGTACAGCACTGGATTACGGCTCTTCGCATTACTGTCTTTACTACTCATGTATCGAGGATTTTCGGGTGGTCTGAAATCAACTGAGAATATAAGTTAGGGTAGGTGTGTTCGCAGCTTTATTTTCAGGTTGCGAGAACATCCAAAAGCGACAATGAGCCTCTCTTTAAAGGGGGAACTGAATAATAAATAATAAAGTTCAATAAATTTAGATGAGAAAATAAATGCGACTTAAGATCTCATGAAACGACAGTCCTTAAATTAATGTGGTCCTTGAGAAGATGCTGCTACGGTTGGAATGGATTAAAAGCACGTTGCTTGGTGTGTTTCATTGTTATATTTGTCACGGCGACATGCAGACATGGGCTCAGAGTTCCAAATAGTCAAATAATAATGAGAAAGTTTGTACATTTAACAAACTTAATGCATTGTGATGAGGCAAGGAAAAGAAGAGTCGCACAGTGTATCTGGAAAGGCGACAATGCCTGAAATACTTTTTTCCTTTTTTTTTTTTTTTTGTTTCAGAGGATCGATAGTTGACTTGATTTCATCCTGCCAATTGGAATTATACACCGTTTACATGTCAACAGTGACGCTAATTGGAAAGATTTTAGATCTATAGAACGCTGTAGCGGCGACACGCGTTCGCCGTCAAATAGGTGCCTTCGTTCTTACTTCGTGTTTTGAAGAACTCATTTATGATGCAAAAAGAATGTTTTTCGGCAAGTAGTGTGCTTATTGTTTACTAAAGAAAATCAAGCTACATGACGGACCCAATTCATGTTCACTATGATGTAAAGGATTTGGGAAAAAGTAATAAAAATGCCACCGGCATCGAAACTGGAAATGGGCACTACGTGCTTCACTTTTATAGTAAGGCCATTGAATGAACTTACCTGTTCTTTTTATAAAATTAGCTTCATGACTTTTTATTTGAAAGTTGCACATTGAAAGCAAAGTGAGAGAAATGCTATTACTTTGCAGCATCATCACATCACGCCCTTTGGACCATTAAATCAAGCCTTGTGAGGCCGATAATGTAGTGATATCTAGGCACTTGAGATCTTAATCTTCAATTGCAGCAGGAGCGTCTAAGTGAACCAGGTGTTTGCATTTATGCAAGTAAGTGCAATAGATTTGCCTGTGTGAAACGGAAAATGTTATAAACGGTGAACAACACTGCAAACTCTTGTTCTGAACATACATATATGAAAGGGAAAGAAGACAACCACCCGTTTGTAGCACAAAGCCACAAGAAAATTCATACGGATTTCTCAGAAAGAAAGCCTCTTAGTTGCCGAAAAATTTGTTCTGGTACGTGGCTCGAACCATGACTAACACCTATCTGGGGCGGTTGCTCTGCCAAAGCTAACCAGGAAGCTAGCATTTGACAGCTTGAGGGTGTATTCACCAGCAACTTGAAGCACATGGACACAAGTATTACAAATTTATGTTGCAAATGTTGCTCATTTGTAACATACATGAATGTAGCATTGCATACACAGCTGGTTGAGCACCTAGATGTAATACATTTTGAAGTGACATGCACTGTGCACCGAAGCCAAGTCACGCAGGGCATTGTCATTGTACACAGCCCCTCTTTTACCAAGAATAAAATAAGAACGGTAAGACTGACGACTCATGAAAGCACCTTTTTTTTTTGTACAGAGCTGCTTCACTGGAAGTGAATGCAGCTTGAGCCACAGAGCATGCGGTTTCGGTCCTTTCAGTATAGGAGTAGATATATAAATACGACATAATGGAATAAATCAGGCAATTTTGCCCTCAAGCCACTTCTTGGATTGAAACGACGACAACTTGAAAACAAAGTTGCACTTACAAGGGGGGGGGGGGGGGGTCCGACTTCTGGTAGGGGGAATTAAAACTTCTAATTCCTGCCCTCTTCAGTGCACCTCTGATGTAGGTGACTACGCGACATGGACATTGGGGCACATACGAGGGGGTTAGGTCGGCCTCTGAGGCGAGAGGGGGTTAGACCCCCCCTCGGTGCACCAGTGTTTCCACAAAACTCATTTGTAATTATCACAGCAGTGCTTCCACAGAATCTGACACCGCCAATTCACAAACAGTCTATTGGGCAAATCATTCTATCTATCAATAACTTTGGAAAAATAACTGTACTTAAAAAATGTTATCTACCGTGAAAAAAGAAGGCTTTAAGTTGAAGCTGTGATAACGTCTAGTTGAAAGGGTATTAGTATACGAAACTGAAAACACTTTAATGCCTGAATTGTGAAAATGCGGAATAAAATTTAAAATGTTTTCATTTTACATCTTTAAACAGTAACCTTTAATCTATTCTTCTGTTACATTATTTAATTTAAACTTTAATGCATACTTTTGGGTATGTCAGAAATACTCTATATGTCACAAAAGCGAGGACCTCAAGAAAAAAAACATACTTCAGGACTACCTAACATGTCATGTGCCACCTTTTGGGTCCGTACACACCAAATAAACAAAATTAAAGAAACAACTTAAGTCGCCCAGACAAGAAAGATTGAAATGAGAGCTGTTGCACGTGCTTCGCTCTCTCTGCCATCAGCTACATAACAATTGGTTCTAGCATAGAATACCTTGGACAAGATGGCACTAAATTTTTCATGCTAAATCTACATTCCCCACCAGCACTTGACAGCCGGCATTAAAGGCGAAACACATTTCGTGATTGATTGATGTGTGGGGTTTAACGTCCCAAAATCACCATATGATTATGAGAGACTCTGTAGTGGAGGGCTCGGGAAATTTTGACCACCTGGGGTTCTTTAACATGCAACCAAATCTGAGCACACAAGCCTACAACATTATCGCCTCCATCAAGACACACATTTCGTGACTTGCTTGAACAGTTTTTCGGTTTGTCAAAAATTTGCCACACTCGGAAGTAAAGGTTAATCATCTGAAGATAGTCGACAAGATGGATGAAGAAATGAATGCCAGAGCTTCAAGGAAAAATGAACAAATGATTTCAACAAACTCAACTCAGTGGCGTTATTGAATGCCGAATGACAAGATTTGAATAGTATGGCAAAATTATTGATACCATGATGACGTGGACAACGGAAGGTAAGCACTAGAGTGTTACAATAATGTCACACTTTTACCACCCTTACTTCCTATGTTCTGCACGCGCCATCTCAATTTACGAATGAAGAATAAAAAGGGCATCAATACACTTACTCTTCTTTCGTACAGGTCGGCCAATGTACTAGCAGCCTGAAACTTCACGTCATCCATACCTGCAATCTACACAAATATGTCAAGGACAGAATGTTTTGTTTTTCTTGCTCTTCCCCCCCCCCCCCTTTTTTTTTCTTGTTCCTGAAACAGCATAACAGCTTCTCGGCAACCAATTTCAAGGATACATTCTGGGAGAGGTACCACTGTAACAAAATAATTCAAAGGACCGTATTAGACCAGAAGGCTCGCCTAAATTTTCAAGTTCACAATTGGTCTAAACAAGTGTAACAGCGAATACCACAAAGTGTATGGGCAAAAATGTGATGGAAACTTCCAGCAATAATTTGTGTAAAATTAAGCATTAAAACCATCTTGGTAGGAAGCGCAGCCACTATTACACAGAACACACAACCAAGCGCTTGTGTTGTGTGTTCTGTGTAATAGTGGCTGCGCTTCCTTCCAAGATGAATCCATACCAACTGGTCCGATACAATTGCTTATTAAGAATTAAAAGTTATTTTCTACGTAACTCCAGAACAACATATCCATGCGGCACACAGAAAAAACTTTCCCTCCGATGATGCAAACTGTGAAGTTTCATGTGCCGCGCCAGACAGCTAAACCACCACTACCAGCACTTCTTGGTAGTGTTTTAGTGCATAAGGAAGGCGTATCATAGGCAGCGGTTATAAAGAGCTAAAACAGGAGGAAAAAGGAGAGCGAAAACATACTGCTTTCTCGAGATGCGACTGAGCCAGCTCAGCGTTGTTGGTGTACAGCATGAGGTTCTGACCCAGCTGAAGGTGCGTGATGGCCTCAATTCTAGGAGCAGGATTTAGGTGAAACACTGCCAAGAGACAGCGTATGCAGTTTTTCATGCTTGGAGGGCTCATGGTGCGGAACTCTTCGGCCAAACCCAGCAAGGCCAGGTAGGTCGCGTCCCCGCCTGACGCCATTGCAGTAGCCGCTCACAGAACCACGGAACACCTAACAGAACCACAGAACACCTACTACTGACAGAACCACATAACACCTATACACTACCAACACGGCAACACCTCCTAGATTTCCTGTGCCTGCCGAATGAGCGCGAAACGCTGGTGATATATAGCGGCGCTGCCTACGTAGGAACAAAGACTTTTAGGTCTTTGTACTCGGCCTTAGAGATCGGCATTTTTTGCGTTTGCTACTACTTTTTGGGGACGCCTTGTATTAAAAACTTGCTTTCTAAATGACGTTGTCACTTACTTAGTGTTATTATAACTACGTTTACGCTTTTTGAAACCTTTTTACGTTATTTTTGTTGCATATAGGTTTTAAAAACGTAAAAACCCATTTGAAAACACCCCTACTTGAGTGACGCCATCACCAAAGTTCCGACGACCGCCGCTTCCCAAGTGACCGCCGATAATCCGGCAGGCACAGCAAATCTAGGAGGCGTTGACACTACCAACGCCTCCTCTAGAAAGATACCTGAGGAATGGCTCGCGCTCCCAGCGGAGTAAGCCTGCCTTCAGTTTTAAACAAGCTCCGCGCAGTGGCGCTCGCGACCGACACTATTATGTGATCCAGGCTCAAGTGGGAAGAGATAGAAGAACAGCTAAGGGAAAAGAGGCCGATGGTATACGGTTTTGTAGAAACACATCTCAGGGACATGGAACAACCTCCGAACAATCTGGACTACGCGTGGGAATATTGTAATAGAACAGAAGGCAGCAGAAAGGGGGGTGGTATTGGGGCATTCATTCATAAAAGTACAGACTGGCAAAGGGTCAAGCAGGAGTGCAAGGAACATTTATGGCTAAAAGGGAAAGTAGCAGGTCAAATGACACTCCTTGGTTTTGTGTACTTGTGGACGGGAGCAAAGGCCAGAGAGGAAAACCAGGCAATGGTAGAGTGTATATCAAACGACATTCAAGAGTTAGGAAGAGAGTGCGAGATAATTATACTAGGAGACATGAATGCGCACATAGAAGATATAGATGGGTATACTGACCGGACAGGCAAAATGATCATGGATATGTGTGAAAAGCTTGATTTGATCATTTGCAACAGCACCGCGAAGTGTGAAGGGCAAATAACATGGGAGGTAGGAAGGCTGCAGTCGACGATAGATTATCCACTGATGTCACATAGGATGTATGATAAGCTCAGGGGAATGCACATAGATGAAGGTGGCTCCAGAAGTCTGGGTAGTGATCACAAACGTATCGAGCTAAGTTTTGGAAGAGCAGTGAAAGTGGGAAGGAGACAAGACGAGCAACTACAGCAAAATTTTTATGAGCTAAGTTTTGGAAGAGCAGTGAAAGTGGGAAGGAGACAAGACGAGCAACTACAGCAAAATTTTTATTCAGAAAGGCAAATTGAAATAGCCACTAAACAAATTGAGAAAGTAATCACGGAGGATAATAAGACAGTGTGGACATACACGAATCTAATAAGACTGTTTCAGCTAGAGCTTGGTAAGACGCGTGACAAGTCACCCCAGAAAAGAAGACACAAACCCAAAAGTTGGTGGGATGAGGAAGTTAAGAGAGCTATAGCAAAACGTCAGGAAGTCACTAGGGAACACAGACATGCTAAGCAGCGGGGTGAACCAACAGATGATGTTGAAAGAAAATTGGAAACCTTTCTAAGCCGTAGAAGGGATGCATCCCTTCTGATCAATGAAAAGATTAGAAGAAAAGGAGCTCAGTGGCTGGCAGAAGTACATAAAAAAGATAGAAAGGCCGCTGCGAAATTTTGGAACCATCTAAACGCCCTAAGAAATTAGACGAGCCGCGAGCAGATGTTTATAACTACAGCCCAAGGTGCTAGGCTAGAAGGGGACGAAGCTATTGAATATATAAGAACAAGGGTGACAGAAAAATTTCAAAAAAGAAGTGCTTTATTTATGCACCACAATAGACAAGGACGAACCAAGTGTTGCAATGGCTCCATTTTCACAACGCGAGTGGGAAAGGGCTGAGAAAAGGGTTCCGAGTAGTACATCAACAGGTCCAGATGGCATTCCAATTATGGTGATAAAGACATTAGGTCCAAAGTCTAAGCAGGCTTTGAGAGAGGCAGTGAGCAAACTAATAATCGATGGGGAAGTTCCCGATGGATGGAAACTTAGCAGGATGAGCATGATCTATAAAGGAAAGGAGGACAAAGCTGACATAAACAACTACCGTCCCGTAACAGTCACATCAGTGGTCTACAGGCTGGCGATGCAGATTATAAAGGAAAGACTGCAGGCATGGATACAGGATGAGGGGGTGCTGGGAGAACTGCAGAATGGGTTTCGGAAATACAGGAGGCTGGAAGACAATCTGTTCTCACTGACGCAGTGCATAGAAATGGCAGAAAAGGAACACAGGCCCCTGTGGCTAGCATTTTTGGATATCAAGGGAGCGTACGATAGCGTGGTTCAAGAGTAATTGTGGGGAATACTGGACGCACTAGGCGTGGAACATGTAGTCACTAATCTTTTAAAGGATATCTATAAAGGTAACAAGGTAGTTATAAAGTGGGAAAAACAGGTATCCAAGCCTGCAGAGGTAAAACGGGGGCTTAGGCAGGGGTGTCCCCTGTCACCCTCATTATTCATGATGTACCTACAAGGATTAGAGGCCAAATTAGAGGGAAGTGGACTGGGCTTCAACCTCTCTTTAGTCAAACAAGGAAAACTCATTGATCAGACACTACCAGCATTAATGTATGCAGATGACATAGTGCTAATGGCCGACAACAAGGAAGATTTGCAGAGATTGATGGACATCTGCAGTAATGAGGGAGATAGGTTAGATTTCAGATTCAGTAAGGAAAAATCAGCAGTCATGATTTTCAATGATAACGAAGGTAGTGAGCTTAGAATATAGGAGGTCACGCTAGAGATAACAGATAAATACAAATATCTGGGCGTATGGATAAGCAATGGGACCGTGTACCTGAGGGAACACGAAATATACGTGACGACTAAAGGTAACAGGAATGCAGCAGTGATGAAAAATAGGGCACTGTGAAATTACGATAGTATGATGTTGTGAGAGGAATATGGAAGGGGGTCATGGTTCCTGGGCTGACGTTCGGCAATGCGGTCTTGTGCATGAGATCAAAAGTTCAAGGAAGATTAGAAATTAAGCAACGTGGAATAGGTAGGCTTGCTTTAGGAGCTCACGGGAATACACCAAATCAGGGAGTACAAGGTGATATGGGATGGACATCATGTGAGGGCAGGGAAGCTAGCAGCAAGATAAAATTTGAGAAGCGATTGAGAGAAATGGGGGAGGAGCGTTGGGCTAGGAAGGTTTTCAGCTACTTGTACATGAAGAATGTCGATACAAAATGGAGGAAGCGAACCAGGAAATTGACTGATAAATACTTAGAAAACAGCAGGTGGTTAACCAAAAAGAACTGTCGGTTAAGAAGAAAGTGAAGGAAACTGAGACTGACATGTGGGGAATGGGCATGATTAAGAAGTCCGCACTAGAGACTTATCAAACCTTTAAGCAGGAAATTGCCAAAGAAAGGATCTATGATAATACTAGGGGTAGTTCTCTACTGTTTGAGGCCAGGATGGAAGTACTGCGAACCAAGACATATCGGGCCAAATACGAAGGGGTAGACACAGTATGCAGTGCGTGTGGAGAGGAAGAAGAAACTGCCGAACACTTGATAATGTTCTGTAAAGGGCTTCACTCTATAGTTCAGGATGATGGCGCTGAGTTTTTCAAAGCACTGGGGTTTAGGGACCGGGAGGGCAAAATAGACTTTAAGCGGGTAGACTTAACTAGAAGAAGGTTATCTGATTGGTGGCTAAAGTCAAGGCACGAGTGAAAATTAAACCCTTCACTGCAAAGTACGAATCCTCAAACTCACTTTTTAAAGAAAAAAAAATAAATCTAGTTTTTGGTTCATTAAGTATTACGGCTTAATGACGCTAGCCACCGCCCAATCTAAAGGGTACAGCCATATCTATTCATTCATCCATTATCACGGCGACAGGCAGTACTCAAGGAGGATATAAAAACTTGCTGGAGTGGAAGCGACGCCCGTCAGGTGACGCCCAACGTTACTAGATACTAGTAACGTTGGTGACGCCAGCGGCAGCCATCTTGCCGGAGGCAGAAAGCGCGCTGCCGGTGTGTCGCCTCCACGCTTCGTTGCTGGTGCACGCTGTTCTCTTCAAAGTTTTCAATGAGTGCAAGTCTTGCCCTTGGATAATGGTTACCTCCTGCGTTGCCTACGGATGCACAAACAGGCTGAAGAAAGGTTCTGGCCTCACATTTCACCTGTAAGTACATGAAATTTAGCGTGTTCTACTCGCGGTCATTTCAGCCGCATTGTAGTTGCTTGCAGGCCCGCGCATGAAAGAGCAGCAAAATGGCATTGTGTGTACGTGTGCCGCAGTTGATTGTCGTATATTTTTTGACAGGTTTCCAAAGAATGCAGAAGTTCGGAGTCTTTGGGAGCGGGCAGTTCGCCGTGAAGGGTGGCGCGCTAAGGATGGAAACCGCCTGTGCTCTGTACATTTCAGTCCTGAGTGCTTTGACCGCACTGGGCAAACGACGCGACTGCGGGTGGGAAGTGTGCCCACGTCGTTTCCAGCTTTTCCGCCTCATCTGCAGAAACCTGTGAGTATTACTGCCATCGTTGGGCGAGAAGCGTAATGTTTAGCGTGCATAACGCTTGTGGCGTTACGGCCGCTACATAATACTTGTTCCACGAAATGTTGTTGCGGGTATACGTGGCATTGATTGCGTGCTGAGAATTGGCGGTACTGTGGAGGAGTAGCTGTAGTTTTAGCATATCGTTACCGTGTTTGCGTTACCGTTTACCGCATTACCGGACGCCGCTGGCGAAGGTGAAGTTACCAGTAATGGTAACTGCTTTACCTTCGCCTTAACTGGTGATCAAGATACATATTTATTTATTTATTACTGCTGACCTGTTTACCAGGTCTTAAGCAGGAATGGGCATACAGCAATGTTTACTACAAAAACATGATTGACATCCACAGCATACTGACAGTGGTTACAATTCAATACTTAAAGGCACATCCGGTGAATGGAAAGTTATACCAGAGCGGGTGCATGTCCTTTTTGCTGGCATACAATGTCTCGTGCACGATTATGAAAAAGCTTGTTACTTAATACATTTATTATTTCTTCAAAGAAAATGTGTAGCTTAATTGTACCCACATTATACGTGTGAGGTTTCATTTAGTTTTTGCGATTGCTGCCTTTTTAGCTCGTCTGAGAAAACGTATGCTTTCAAACCCAGGTCAAACAGAAGCGTCCCGACCCCAAGTCTCGAGATTTCCCGGCCCGGCCTGGTCCTGAGTGTTCTGGGTTGTGCGACCTGCCTGGAGCTGAAAATTTTCCTGAAGACTCGCCAACCAAACTGTTCTACAAAGACAAGGTCCTTTCCTCACAAGAAGAGATAACCCAGTTGAAGAAGAAGGTCAAAACACTGCAACAAACTAAACAAAGGCTGGTCAAGAGAAATGAAACCGCCCAAGAAATCATCAAAGAAATCGGAGAGCAAAAACTCTTGTCAGAAGGAGGCTCACATGTGTTTTCATCTGTTTTCTCGGATGACATTCAGCAACTACATTGCAGGGTGGGCAATGAGCAGAAGGGCAAGTACCCACCTGAGCTGCGAGCATTTGCACTGACTTTGCATTTTTACAGTCCAGTCGCGTACGAGTATGTACGATCCAAATTCAACGAAGCCCTCCCATCCCAGCGAACACTAAGGGGCTGGTACAAGTCGATTCAAGGAGCTCCTGGCTTCACAGCCGAAGCATTTGCTTTCCTTGAGAAGTTTGCGGAAGCACGTGATGAACCCTTCTACTGCGCTCTCATTGTAAACGACATGGCCATCAGGAAACACGTAGAGCTAGTTGGAGATAAGGTAGTAGGGTATGTTGACTTCGGAACTGGGCTTGACGATGACGGTCTTCCTGAAGCTGCGAATGCGTGTGTCTTCATGATCGTTGGAATCAACGTCAGATTTAAGATGCCAGTTGGATACTTCTTAATAGACTCACTCACAGGAGCAGAGAGGGCCGAGCTGGCCAAACAGTGCATTGAGAAGCTTGCGTCGGTGAAGGCTGAAGTAGTCTCTCTCACATTTGACGGAGCCTCGTCGAATTTCACTATGGCCAGGTGTTTAGGTGCTCAACTTCGTGTTGACTGTGAGCAAATTTCTTCAAGCTTTGTGAACCTAGCTGACGATGCTAAGAATGTTTACATTATCCTAGACGCCTGCCACAAGATTAAGCTTATTCGCAATTCCTTGGCGAACTTAAGCTACATTGTTGATGCTGAAGGAAAGCACATAAAGTGGGCCTACATAGTGGCATTGGAGGCATTGCAGCATTCCGAAGGGTTGCGGCTGGGCAACAAACTCACGAAAGTCCACGTGCAATGGGAAAAACAAAAGATGAAGATGCGATATGCTGCGCAAGCATCGAGTTCCTCTGTGGTTGACGCCTTGGACTTCTGTGAAAATGTGCTGAAGCTACCCCAGTTCCGGGGCGCCAGTGCAACATCGAAGTTCGTGAGGGTCTTCGATCACCTGTTCGACCTTTTTAATTCTAGGAACCCTTTTGCAAGGTCGTACAAGGCTCCTCTGCGGAAGCAGAATGAAGCCTGCTGGAAGCCATTCTTTGCCTACACCCAAGCGTATATAAAGGGATTGAGAGATCCGGCTGGGCGGCCAGTTTTAGAAGGCTTGAAAAAAACTGGTTTTGTGGGCTTCTTGATCTGCATGGCGAGCACTGAAAAAATGTTCGACGAGCTTGTTGGCCAGGGTAAGCTGAAGTACTTGTTGACGCACAAACTGAGCCAGGATCACGCTGAGAACTTCTTCGGATCTGTTCGTGGCCGAGGTGGGTATAACAACAACCCAATCGCTGCTCAGTTCATGGCAGCATACAAGCGTTTGCTGGTGCAAACAGAAGTGACGTCTTCTAGCTCGGGAAACTGCACCAAATACATGGTTTCCATCCTGAATGCCACTACTGTTGTCGCCCAGGTAGACGCAACAAGCGCGCTCGCAGACATGCGCAGGTCCTCGATCTTGGAGCCTCACGATGACCACGACTACACGCATCCTGAAAACCTTTCTGCGGTAGTTGTTGCGGTGGTGCCTTATATCGCAGGCTTCGTTGTACGCCAAGTGTGCAAGACAACAACATGCGAAGAGTGTATTGCAGCCCTGTACTCAGATGAGCTAGTTCCCCTAGTTGAGCAGAAAGACAGAGGTGGGCTTGTGTCCCCGTCCAAGGATGTCATTGGCTTGTGTGAAGCCGTTGAAAAGGGGCTGCGACGGCTACAGATTGAGTGTGGAACACTTCAAGCAGTTAACTCCCAGTCAAAGCATCTCGTTTTGGAAGTGCTACGACTGTCTGTAGAGGAAAAATGGTTTCAGAACCTAGAGCAGCACATTCTTGACCTTGATCCCCTCGACAATCATATCTACAGCTTGTGCAAAAAAGTTGCGGAGCTGTATGTGAAAATCCGCATCCACCATATGACAAAAGAAAAAAACCGCGAGATCATCAAGGACAGGGTCAGGCCAGTTCTTTCAAGAATGATCATTTTCAAACATCAGTGAGTCTCCCCGCACTGCTCGTTTCGGCTATACTGTTCGCATATATTTTTAATGTTTGTGTGATTGTGTTTTTTCTGCCATTTTCGAGTTTCTCAAAGCGTTATCGTAGGCCATTTCGCCACCAAAAAGCAAGGAATAAATGCTTACAACCTGACACAACTGTTTTTATTGCTTTGAAGACGCGAGAAACTGCACCTGCTGCTTAGATAAGCGCGAGCGCAGCTGTACTCGGCTGTTTCTTGCCTCTGCCAAGATGGCCGCCGGCGGCTCGGCGCGGCTTCACCCCCTCCCATGGGTAAGCATAGGCGGCTTCCACTCCAGCAGGTTTTTATATCCTCCTTGGCAGTACCACTATGGTGGCTAGAAGTATAGTGAACTAGAAGTACTCTAGTGGTGCGACCGGCCAGGCTCTGGCGCCAGCCTTTCACACGGATGGCGCGAGGTGGCGCCACTGCTCCATTTCCTAGGAGCTTCGGCTGCGTTGACCGGCCGTCTCTGGCTCCTTCTGAGTTGCAGCTATGGTCAATTCTAACGCGCGTGTTGGCTTCCTGGCTCATACAAACGTAAAATTGCTAGGTTAGTTATTGCGTGGCTCAGCGGTTTGTATATACATAGTTTGGCCAAGAATATATATATATATATATATATATATATATATATATATATATATATATATATTCATATTTACCACACGCGCTAATAACATTCGCTACAAAGCGATTGCTCATCACCATCACAAGCTTACGGCGCGCTTCCACTATAGTTTTGGTGCTGGCTTATTACATAGAAGGTCATGGTAAGGACACAGTGCTCAGCATCGAAAATGAAAACAGGAACATCTTTTTATTTATTGTGATAATTGGAAGAGTACAAAAAATACAAAATAACAAAATAAATTTCACTAGTTTAACAGCTTTTCAAAACTATTACGAGGATTCGCAAAAAAAGAAGACACGCGAGATGGACATGTGCAGAACTTAACATCTACTGAGCTTTAGGTGCTTGGCTGATTCTCGTTTCTTAGCACTATTCTGGTTCACGCTTTTAGTTAGGAAATGCAGACGAGTAGTGATGTAAAAAACGATGACCTCAGCTGCAATGCCTTCAGAATGGTCACGACAACCAAGCCCATTTTTTTGCTTTGCCTTAACTTCGCTTAAAATGTCGAGTATGCTATCAGCGTGCAGCTCCAGCAAACTGAAACACGTTGTGAAGGCTTTTTCTAAATCATGAACAAACTTAAACAACAGGCTAGACGGATAAAGCAGGCCACCTCTGTCTTTCATGTGTGTCAATTGCGCAAGGTGTTTGAGACTTTCAGCAGACTCCTTTTGCATTAGAAGAAGTTTATGGCACTCTTCGCAGCCAGACTTCAGTAGGCATTTTATAGCTACATATCCTGCTATATAAAATGTTAGCCGGTTGTCACTGGCAGATATAATGCATGACGCATGGTCTGGCGCACTCTGTGGGAGCGAGCTCTGCACGGCAGCTACATTGTCACTGTTTATAAACTTGTCCATTAAGCGCTGTTTACCAGATGGAACATTTTCAGCACCTGAATTTGCGGGTAGAAGGGCATGGAGCACTGCAGGCTCACAGTTTCCCTTTGAAGCTGAGTGAGCAAGATTGTTGAAGCTCAAGCAGTTGATAGTGCTAATAAACTGCTGTGGTGTTGGGTGCGTGTTACATCCAGACGACTGCCTGACAATGCCAAAAACATGCTCAACAGGATCTTGGCTTACTCTAGATGTCATTAGGTACCTGTAGCCTAGTTTCTCAGTGAGATACTGAAGCAAAGAAAGCACACTTGACACTGTCACTCGCAGCCCAGCTGCTGTTGACTGGCTCAGGAATCCTTTCTGCCCCTTCGTGTGGTCTTCCCATGATGAAAGGTACTACTGAAACGATCGCAGCTTCTCAACACTTGCTGAACTTGGGCGCAGCGCTTCAGCTGGAAATCGTGAAGTCATCATTTGCACAAGGTCATGGATGATCCTGTGAAATGAACAAAAGCAGGATGAATCTGTGTTTGTGAGCAAGAGTCAGACTGTCATATGCAAGGTGAAAGGTGCAATCGCAATAAAACCACAATGTGATGACACTTACTTGAAAAACTTTAGTGTAGCTGTGATGTCACCACAGGTATCTTCAATTCCTGACTTGTACAGCTGCAGACCATGAATCACTTTTTCTCCGAAAAGCTAAAGATACTCTCATCTTTTCAAAATTGTTGGGGTTCATGTGGCTTCCGGTGATTCCATGCATTGCCTGCAATGTGACACTGCAACCATCCAGTTCCAAAGATTTGCGTACGAATTGTAAAGATACCTGAAAGGAATACCAAAGTGAGAAACTGTTAGAAACAAACAGATTGTATCAATAAAGTTGTACAGCATGCTTGGTGATCAAAAACAACTTACCTGGCCCTCAGGTGTTTCGTAGTCCGATCTTAGTAGTCCATTCCTCAGGCACTTAATTAAGTGAGGAAAGTCCGACAGAAAATGGAGTTTGCGCGTTGGGTCCACTGGATGCAATGTGCTGCATTTCGTTTCTGTCAGTGATGCTTTGATGCCCATCACAGACCACATTTTCCGATTCCAAGTGGCACCATCAGACGTAATGAAATCAACCTTGAGTGCGGCCTTCTCAGCTAAAATGACGGCTTCAAGCATTATCTTCGTCAGCAGGTTCCCATTTATGTTTCCATGAGTCGCAAATGCAGCGAGTATTTGCGTCCATTTGCCAACAAAGGGCACAAAAATTATCACCATACCGTGATCACGGACACTGTGCTTATCTTTGTCAGACGTAAACTGTCCCAAGTCAACGAAGCCATCAATGCGGCCTTCACTGTTCACTGAGAGGTGCTCCGAGAGTTTCAGTTCATCCACGATGAGTCCTCCATGGCATAAAAACTCGTCCATAGTGCAAGTCTTTTGCTTCAGCACATCAAAGATTTTATTGCTAAATCTAAACCCAGTTCTGTAGCATTTTAAATATTTGCGAAGCGTAGTCTTACTGGGGAGAACTAAGATTTTTTTCTTTTCTCAAGTGCTCATACAACCTTGCACTTTTCAGCTTCATAATCAAACATTCGAGCACCCACTCATTTGAAAATATCATGCCTTTAGTACTCTTCCGTGAAGAAGCTTTGAATATGTGGAGAGTTGCCTCACGCTGCTTCTCTGGTAGGAGAGCTACTTTTGCATTGAAATCTTCTTCTGCGATTGCCACATTCTTGGCAAGCATGACACTCAACTTTTTCTTAAGCACACATGCCTGATTTTGAAGACGTGCTGTCTTCTTCTTTTGTTGCGTCAGTCGTGAAGAAAGGGTTTTCTTTACAGGCAGGTGTACACGACAGTTAATGTACGACTTTCTTGTCAGTAACGATTTCCTAAGGGACTTGCATTCTGCACAACTTGAGCCTGCAAATGAACAAACAATGCATACGTTAAAATCACACCCCTCAATACCTGAGGCAATGTGGTAATGTTATGGGCATCCTAATGCACTTTACGTCTACTTACCTTCAGAAGAAACTTTTCCGAAGCAGCGTACGCTGATCACGGATCGTCCAGCAGTGTTTGCTTCAGCTCGATGATGTGCGGTCAGCCGAGAGGAAAGCGGCTTGAATTCTTGTTTACACATTGCTCCCTTGCAGACAGGGCTTTCTCGAGCTTCTTCCAATACGGATGTGGCCTCAGCAAGGAATTGCACGGGTTTCTCTTGACACAAAACACCTTGATAGAAGACTTGGGCTACAATTTTTCCTTCTGTGGACATAAAGCACACAGCTTTTTCATAAAAAATATCCAGTTTTGTACGCTTGCTTATCACTGTCGTCACAAATATTAGATCGCAGTGGCCAACTGCTTCTATACGACACCAGTAGTTTGCAGGAACTTCAAGTGTGCGAATAGCTTCAATTGAAAGTCGCGCACTAGTGGCAGCATTAAAGTCCATGCCTTCCATTTCACCGCCGTCGCACACTTCGTCAGGTGCATCAGGCCTGCGCCGTTTTCTGCTTGCGCCTTCAGGAGGTTTGGCTGCTTTCCTTCTCTCGGGTCTTTGCTTGGGCGCAGCGACGGAAAGGTACGCCGGACAACCTGGCAAAAGCGTTGGCACGGCATCAGGCACCAATGACGGTTTTCCTCGGGGAGTGCGCACTTCACAGCCATTTATCACGTGCACATATTCGCGCAGAATATTTCTTGGCTCGAAGTGATGTTCGCACACCGCTGATGTTTCGGTCAGAGGCTTGTCATCCCTCCGGAGGTTACGCTCCCACTTTCTGCGGAGATCGTCTTCTCTAGGAGCTGCAAACAACGATGCCTTCGGGGCGCCCGGGTAGCCGCTTCGGCAACCCGGAGCAAAACAGTGTGAATCCGTCCTCCGCTTCGACATGTCACGAGCTACATGTTTGTTGGTACGGAATACCTGAACAGGTAAAGACAGCTGCTCCACAATGGTCCGTGCGAGAAAATGCAGAGCAGAGTATACCGGTACACGTGCAGTACAGTAGCTGCAGACAAAGCGATGCGCAGGATACCGGCAGACGTGCTGAACTAACGCGCTGAATCACCAAGTGACGGCGCCTCGCCTAGGAAAAGGCGCAGTAGCGCCACGAGAAACCCTAGCGGCGGTCCGTGGTATTTCCGACCGCCAAGAGAGGCGGCGTGGCCTGGCGCTGATGGTCGTGCCACTAGAGTACTTCTAGTTCACTATAGCTAGAAGGGCAGTGTGACGGTCGCCATATGCACGCCGTGGAAGAGAGGCGCACAAAACGCGATGACATTTTTTACGCCGCTAAGGGCGCGGCGGTCGTCGGGAGCGCGCAAGATCTTCGCCGCTACAGCCATTGCTACAGCTGCTACAGCCACGTGTGTTTGGCACTGTGAGCAAACTTCCGCACGTGCAACTGTTTTTGTGTGACTCCTGGACGCGCACCATGTGAATGATTGCGGATAGCGACACACTATTACCATGCCAGCGAAAGCAGGTACGTGTTTTGTACCCGGTTGTAAAAGTGGGTACAAGTCGTGTCCGGCAAGGGTGTCGTCGTTTCGAGCTCCCAAGGATGCATTGAAACGGGAGCAGTGGGCCCGTAATATAAAACGGGGCGATAAGGAACTAACCAACGACTGCGTCGTTTGTGAACGTCACTTCGAGGCAACGTTTATACAGAGGACTTATCGTCATGTTATCAATGGTGAGGTGGTTGAAATTCCACGCGATCGGCCGCTGCTAACAGAGGACGCCGTTCCTACAATCTTCCCGGATGCGCCAAAATACCTCACAAAGAAAACGCCGACTAGAAGGAAGGAGAGAAACCTGTGTGAACAAGGTGAGCCCCCGACTAAAAAAAGAAGGACTACTGTAAAGCAGCAGGCGCCGGAAGAAAGTGAACAAGTAATAGAAGCACAACATGCTGCAGAATCGGAGTTTACTGAAGCTGTACATACTGACACGATAGAAGTGGAGCCGCAGAGTGAAGTCAGTGCGGAATACGTGTGCCGGAACATCGAACTTCCTAACACAAGCTGGAACAAACTATCGTTTTCCACTGAAACAGGGCCCGTCACTTTCGGCCTTTGCGAGTTAGAAGGTGCCGAGTTGGATCACCTACTGCTGCCGAAATTGGTGAAGTTCGAACAGGCCGTTGAGCAAGTAGGAACAGTCAGTTGTTCCGTTTTTCTTAGGGGCAAGCTGCACCTAAAACGCAATGTTTCCTCACCAGATGAGGCGCAGTTGGCGCTTAACAGCGCACATTCTCTGGTTTTATGTGCTGGCTGTGGTATGAAACCAAACACAGTAGGAAAATATGAGTATTTTGCCGGCTTGTACTTTTCGCCCAAGTGCAGCCTTACATGCGAAAGTAAGGGCCCTTGCATGCACTGCAAGTACCTACGAAAGCTCTTGCAAAATCAGCAATCACGACAGAAACACGGCGTTTCAGTTAAACGCCTTGTAAGGCACGCCAACACTCGCCGCCGTCTGGTAGCTGCTCAACGAAAGCTGCTGAACGTGCAGAGGGAACTCGACATGATGAAGTCTGCCAATGAGCAAATTGGAGATGAAGCACTGAATGAACGCATTAAAAAGTTGCCTCAGAAACAACAGATGGCAATTATGGCATGCTTCAGTGCAGCTAAAAGAAAATCGACATGTGGCATGCTGTATGAGAAGAATTGGATCCTAGAGTGCGTGCTGCTTCGCATGAGGAGTCCGAAGCTCTATGAGCACCTTCGGAAGCAGAAAATTCTTGTCCTGCCAAGCCGAACTTGTCTACAGCGTTATGTGCGCAATTTCAAAAGTGGCTTCGGATTTAATTACACTGTGTTTAAGGCACTTAGTGCGAAGACTGAAAGCATGGATGTCTGCAGCCGACATGGTGGCATCATTTTCGATGAACTGAAGCTGCCTGAGCAGTTTGGTGTCAACCAAGCAGGTATGTAGTGCCTACGTTTCTCTACACCCTACACGATTTAAATATGAAAATAATTATTTGATGCGAAAATCACACTCCCTATTTTCAGTAACAGCGCATATGCCAAATAAGTCTGTTGTCGTGTTAACTACAAGTTTTTGTCATTTTTTAGGGTTTGTTGAAGGATTTGTTGACCTGGGCAGCTTTACAGCAGACGAGCAAAGATCCACGCCAGCAGACCATGGGATGGTGATGCTTTTTCAACCCTTTCAGGGTGAGTAGTTCTGTGTAGTATCTTTCCTGTGCATTCCGTATGATGTGTGAGGCACCAGTTTAACCAAGTTGGAAACCGTAGTACAAAACATGTCTTCGCACTAACTAAAACATATGAAGACATTAAAACAAGTGCATCTGTGAAGTGCGTACTTTTGTGTACAACCACGTCAAACAGAGCAACTGTACGGCTTGTCATTTTTGTTTTCAAGTTTGTGAGCAAAAGTGTGCCATATTCTGGAAAATGAGAATTCGTTATTATTTTTCGCAACATAAAGCTCAAATATTATCTGATTATCACCTTTTTAATGTATTCTGCCTCAACTTCTCAAAAAATTATTGTTTTTTTTTCTAGAAAATTGTGCAAAAATTTCAATTTTTGAATTTTTCACGTGCGCCTCTAAGGGTTTCAATGTATCGTATTTATTCACGCTTGTTGGCTCTGCTTTTATTTGTTTGTTCTGCAGGGGACTGGACACAGATACTAGGTGTGTTTTCCTCAAAAGGAAATATCAAGGCAGGCATGCTTTCCAAGCTGCTTCTTGAGGCGATTCTTTTGGCAGAAAAAGCCGGTCTCTTCGTGGACTTCGTGTCGTGTGACGGGGCTACTTGGAATCGCAGCATGTGGAAGTCATTTGGAATCGGTGGTATGATACTTTGTTGAACCTGTAATTTGGAGCACTGAAGTCAGCAGTATTGCAGGGCTAACTGTGTTGAAATAACATTTGCTGGTCCTTGTGCTTAGGAATTTCAACAATCTCATACATACGTACTTTTTTTTCAGCACACTCGGGTGGCATCACGTGCAAAGTGTCACATCCTGTAGACTCTTCAAGAGAGCTGCACTTCTGTTCCGATTTTCCTCATCTAGTGAAGTGCATCCGCAACACGTTTGTCAGCACTGGGTTCACGACTCCGGGTGGGCGTGCATGCATTGAAGATATAGAGGTAGCATGGGCCAAAGACAACAGCTCTTTAACACTTAAAGCGATGCCCCATGTAACAAAAGCACATATCCGACCAAACTCCTTTGAAAAGATGAAAGTAAATTTAGCTTTCACGCTTTTCAGTGAGGAAGTTCTGAAAGGTATGTTTCTGTAAAGATCGGATGTACCAGAGTTCTCCAGCTCAGTGTCCGCGACTGAACAACTTGTGAGACGCCTCAGTCGGCTAATATCAATCATGACGTCAAGGTGTCCAAAGCGAGGACTTAGACCGTCATCACAAGATGTTGCTGAGCTTGAGGCTTTTCTTGTCTTCTTAGACGCATGGGAAGAAGCTTCCAAAAAATGTGGAGGTGGCTTCATGAGCAAAGGTACTGCTGAGGGTATGAGAGTTACAATACGCAGTACACTCTCACTTCTGCAGTATTTAACGTCGTCAGTGGCGTTTAAATACTTGCTGACATCAAGATTAAGTCAAGACAAGTTGGAAAACTTGTTCAGTATAATAAGACAGTATTCGGGTACAAATGACCACCCAAGCCCGAGGCAGTTTCTTATAACTGTAAATTGTCTCAGTTTCTACAATATTGCGCGACCACCAAAGTCTGGAAACTCCCCGGCACAGGTTGTGAACGCTCTACTGGACACGACGTCTTCAGCAGGTGCAAGTAACAGTGCCGTTTTCGGATTAAGAGAGATTATTGAGGACATGCTCGAGGCTGGAGATATAGATGGTGCTGGCGATGCCATTCAGTCTGCTTTTAGAAGCGACCACAGCAGCTATGTGGTAGAGAAAAGTGACAGCCGTTTGGTTTACTACCTGTCTGGTTATGTAGCTAGAAAGTTCAGGACCAAAAATTCTTGTGGCACATGTGCATCAAAGCTAGCCATGAAAAAACAGGATGTAGCAAAAAGTGCAGGCAATGAATTCACCAAACATTTTGATCAAGGGGGTTTGTTATATCCTGGGGATGACTTGGCCATCCTTGTGGTAACATTAGAAGAAGCATTTACTTTTTTTTTCTCTACCGAGAAGCTGCAGGCATTCAGTATTCATGATTTCATGTCATTTCTGAGTACCATTAAACTTCATCAAGTTGGCTGTGCCAATCATGGCAAAGAACTAACTGCAAAAATTGTGCAGTTTTTTGTGCTCACGCGCCTGCACTTTTATACAAAGTCGCTGAATAAAGACCGATCTGTCCAGCGGCAAAAACAGAAACACCTCAAGTTGCGAAGGTGCCAGTAAATTTTGTGGGTACTTTCACTTAGAATTCTCAGCTGTGCTGATTGATTTGTTTTAGTGCATTTTTTCGCACTGTGTTGGAACTGATGCATGAGCATGTCAAAAATAAAATGTTTCTGAAGAACCAGCTGGATGCACCGTGCAAACTTTTTACATTTCCAGAAACACTTGCTTAATATACTTAGTGGTAGTAGAATGACCAGAGTGTTGTAGCCTTGTGACACGACACGCACAAGTTGTAAATGTTAAGGGAATGTAACGCCCCTCTTCAAAACATTCAAGTTGCAGCTGCGCAGTTAGT